AATGAATGGAATTCCAAAATCTCTGTAGATGTTCATTGAAATGAAAAATAAACTAAATTAATTAAAAAGAAAGTTCCTATCCATTTCCTTTCCAACATTTATTGCTTGCTGTCCTGTTAAACTTTGCCACTGCTAATGGAGTGAGATTGTGTAGTAGATAATTTTTAATGTCATTTAAATTGTTCTAGAATATAGGAAAAATTAAAAACATTCTCACAAAGATATAAAAGTGATAATACTAAACATTAGAAAGTTGAATCCAGAAGTATATATATTTGATAAAATTTAAGGTGGCTTTTTTTTAACCAAGGGAATGTGAAAATGTACATTATAATGTACTTAGCAGAAGACTAGGTTGTGGGCCATTGAGTTGGAACCACCCACCAGCAAACTTTTACAGGTAGTAAATCACAAGGGAGGAGATAGCCCATGCTGTGGAGCAGCTGGTGGATCCAAATCAACCACGTGCCTTTGGGATTGCAACACAGCTGCTTGCCACTGGGCCACCAGAGCTTCCCAGTAATGAAACTTGGGAGTTCAGTTACATTATTCTATAATGCCATAGCTGGGGTTAAAAATCTGAAATTCAGGCTTATTGTGAGATTAATGAAAGCAGGGAGTGGGAAAGTACAAGATTGAGTTAACAGGAATGTTCTTAGGAGCAAATTGAATGCACTCTGAATCAAAAAAGTGTAGTAGTCATCAGGGATAGCTTAATTATTGGGATAAAATACATTTTTCAAATGTAGGAAATTATTTTTTGTAATTCGCAACTGGACTCCAGCATATTTAAAGAGACTAAGCCACACAGAAGGAGTTTGCCCATCCCATAGAGCAGCTGGGTTGGCAGTGCAAGTCCTTAAATAAGGCCACCAGAGCTCCCTGATTAGGCGGAGGAAGGTGAGACAAGAAACTTGAAAGCCAGAGATGAAAAATGTGATAACACAAAAATGCAAACGGTCTCTGGTCAAAGATACCATGAACTTAAAAGATGGTAAGTTAGAAGGAAATATTTAAAGCGTATATGTGTGTGACTGATTTTTATGCATAGTACAAATCAGTATGAAATGAATGGGGCAAATACGTATATTGCACTGCAGTCTCAAAGGTAAGCAGTTCAAATCC